CTTGTGTGTCGCCTTGATGGGCAAACCGTGGGGCATCCAACATGGGTTGGTTGTCGTGGGTCTACCAAAGGACGTGCGGACCTGCTTGGAAGGGACAACCGTTGTGTTGGTTACATGCGGGATTTCCTGGGATGGTGGAATCGTCCAGCTAGAATCGTTGTTGCTGTTGGCTACAGTACTGGTCTCCCCATAAGCCAATGTAGAAGCTGGGTGACTACTGGAGCTGAAGGTAGGCAGCTCTGTAATCTCCCCATCACCCAGTGATGCATTGGGAGCACCAGCTAGGGCAAATGGTTGCACGGGAGCAACCAAGGGAATGGCATTGGGCAGCTGGTTGCTGGTCGCTGTAACTCGCAAAGGACGAGTGGCCGGCGACTCCCCACAAGCTGGCTTGGAAGATGACTGGTGGTTGGTTGTGGCACCGATCAAAGAGGACGTGACAGGTAGCTTCCCACAGCAGTCTGGTTTGAGGGCTGGATGCTGTGAGTCCTCAGGACTGGCGCCAATACCGATAGGTAGCGCTGTGGCTACATTGCTGTGGTTGTTGGAAGCAAAGAGGGCCTCTGCCAGTCGCCGCTGCGTGGGCGTGGCACTAGTGGCAGGCAACTCCCCACAATCGCGCTTGGGAGATGCGTGGTACCGGTTGTGCCTCCTGGATGTGGCTGCTTTCTGCCTGAGGGAAGCTGCTTTTCCGTTGATCTTCTCGAGGTTTCGACTAAGGGACTTGTCAAGCAGCTGACGAATGCACCACTGTCGCTCTTCAATGAGACTATCAAGGGTAGTGTCAAGGGCTTGGATAGAGGTGTGCTGCGCATCCAGACTCTTCATGATGGCCCGAATCGTATCCTCCCGGGTTGTAGGGGAAGTGTGGCTAGTTGTTCTTGGGCTAGCCTGTTTCCTTGGTTCTCTAGCCTTCGAGTCCTTCCGTGATGGTGGAGGAGTCACTGTGGGTATGTAGAGTGACATGGTTGCTTTCTTGCTGCCAAGGAAGAGGTGTAGGCTGTACTTGGTGGTAACACTGGTTTTCAGCTCTTGTAGTGGTAGAATAAGGCTGACTCAACTGTACTTTGGAAACCACAAAGGATACTTCTTGGGACCTTGCTAGGGGTCTAGGAAATTCAATTTGGTGGTAATTGAATAAGGTAGCCAGTGTAGAGGGTATGGAACCTGCTGCCTGTGTCGCCGTGGTGCTGGTAACTGGCTTGGTTTGTGGGTATTTTGCCACTGAGGAGCCAGGCAACTTTGGGCCAATGAATCTCCCCGCACAAGTTGCCAGTACTGAAGGTGAGATACCCACTGACTAAACAAAGGATGGCGGATCCAGTGGTGCTATCGATACTCTCTCGAAACAGTCGTTTCGTTGTCTCGTGACTCTCCGAGTTGGGTCTTCGGTAGGTTGGTTGCTCCGTACTGAAGGAAAATCGCGATTTTCACGATTTTCAATGACTCGACCACGTAAAACCTTTAAAATGTGAGCGCAGCGAGCTTACGTGATGTGTGCCTGCTTTCGGTACGGGGAACTGTTGTCGTATAAGTCTTCGCAAATCCAGGATCGAAAAGGAACTCGATGACGTTCCGCTCGCTGACTCAGTGCACGTCGAATAAGTACCGAAGCGAACAGGTGAACTTCAAAAAACTGCACGGACGTTTTGATTGGCTGAGCAGCTCCCGAGGTGCGTATGGCAGTACGTTCCTTGACGTTCCGTGGTGGAAACTCGTGACACTCAAGACTGCACAGGCGATTGCAAAGAGATATGCCTCGAAAGTCGTAATAAATCTGACCGTTCCGTGGAATCGCTAAGGGGATTCACAAGAGATATGCCGGTCACCAGCAATTCCTCGTCTCGTAAAAGCTTTCGTTGATTGCCAAGATAGGTGCGAAACCAATATGTCTTTCGTTGACTCGGAGACTCCAGGTGTTCCTCCACTGTAACCGCTTCTTCTTTCGAGTGAATTGGGTGCTTTTCCTCTCTTCCGTGCTAAGGTATCGCGAATCGCGAACTCCCTATTGGCAATGAGGTTGTTGTCGAGTTGGGAGATATCTAGGTCCTTTTCAAGGCAATGATGATGGCGTTGACCTTGTAGTTGAATTGGTATATGGTCAACTCAAAGGTGTCTGATGCTCTGGTGAAGGCTAGAGCTATCAGAATTGACCAGAAGGTTGTTGACTTAGGAGTTCAAAAGTAGGCTTGAAATCAGCACCAAATTCCAATGAAATCAACTGTAGACCAATATATTGTATTGTAATTCGAAGAGGTCCTTTTCTCGTCAAGGAGGTCTCTTCTTCCCTTAAGGACTGCCTGCAAATCTATGCGACTGTTAATCCAATAAGTTTCTTGAAGGATCAGTTCCAGTACGGAAGTAGTGGACTGGACCTCGCTGAAACCTTCCTCAGGTACAGCGGTAGTCAGGCAGTTCAGGGAGCCTTGTCGTGCCTCAGGAGTATTCCAACACCTCCAGTAGGCACCAGACCAAGGACTTGGCCCTGTCAGTCAGACAGGAGGGCCAGCAGAGCTCTCTGCTGGGCCCTTTGGGCCAGCTCTCCTCAGGAGCTGGGGACCTTCGTTATTCAATCGTGCAGTGGCAGTCTGGGAACAGTACTATCTGCTACCTCCTACTGCTTCTGCCCGGCATCAACAGGATAGGTATCAACTGCTGCGGTATCAAAGGGGCTACAAGCTAATCAGGATCGGTCTCAATCTTTCGTACTATTTTCTTAACTATGGTAGAAAGGACGATCCTTTCTTGCTGCTTTGGCTGGAGATAAGCCAGCTGCGGGTGCTGGAGCTGTAGGCCAGCATAGCTGTTGGAGCTATCTCTGACGGGATCCAGAGCTCTCGCTCCTAAAAGTTATCGGCAACACTCCGTAAAGTCTTTCGATATCCTTCCGAACCGCTTCCTGCGAAGCAGAAAACTGCTTCTCCCAATCAAGGATTGGATCGGACAAAGTCTTGACAAAACGAGAAAATTGGGGATATATACCGTCAACCAAAATGAAGAAGGCGTTGAATTCTTCACCCGAGATCGTGAAAGGTACGGCTCCACTTTCTGTTTCAAGCCATTCCATCGTGCCATTCAATATGTTTTCTTGGATGGGAGACATGTCAAATATCGTAATATCATTGAGTGTACCGGCATATCCAAAGGCACCCCACCAAAGAAATAGATTATGGTCTCCCAAGCCTTCCAATGCAAGCGTGGGAATTTTCTTGGAGCCCTTGTAGGCACCTTGCCAACCAACTGGACAATTCTTCCATGCATTGTGCATGCAATCAAGGGATCCAAGCATCCCGGGAACACCGTGGACTTGCTGGTGTAAATCTGAAATTGCTTTCAAGTCTGCGGCAGTGGGCATTCGTAGGTATTCTTCTTGATACAACTGCCGCATAACGATGTCAAAGTACTTGCGGCAATCTCTGACATGAGCTAGGGACATTTGAAAATAGTCCCGAAATGCATTTACCGGAACACCGTAGGCAAGACACTTCAACGGGAGCAACAATCGAGCTTCCAAGGAAGAAATCTTGCGGTCAAAGGCATCAGTTTCCCCACTGTAAAAGAAATGGCCACTCTTCCCAAAGTCCTGGCGTATTCGCTCAAACCGTTGGGTACTGATACGGAAGATTGTTTCGAATTCTCTGCCATTGAATCTCGGTAGTGGCGACAAATAGTCGTCCATAATGCACTGGTACGCCCGATCGTGGTCATAGACACGACATTGATTCCTCGAAAATATACGGTGATCAATCGAATCAATGTCCTCTCCATCGCTGTCAACGACATCCATGACGACCGACTGGACCGTTGCCAAATTGGCTATCAAGTCGAATGCGTCCTGATCCTCTTCCGAACTGCTGCTAGAGGAATCCATAGAGGTGCTGAATAGTAAAAGTGAGGATAATAAGCGGTAGAGATACAGATAACAAGAGGCAAGTAGTTGGTTGGTTGGTTGGCTTGTTGCTGCTGTTGCTGCTGTTGCTGCTGCTGCTGCTTAAGAGACTGTTAGTCAAGCCTTTTGTGTTGGTGAGCGATTTTCACTAAAGAGCCTCCCGTTAGTCAAAAACGACGACCTTTGACTAACAAGTTTAGTCGAAAATAGCTTTACTAGCATGGGTAGACACTGCCGAAAATACTAAACTGTCGACTAAACGACGATTTTTGATTTAAGAGCGCCTTTAGTAGCTTCGATAGACAGTGCCCTTAGTTCGGAGCGAAATATCAAATCAATTTCATTGTTAGCCTACATCTAATTTCTAGCTAGCTCCCATGCTGCAGCTGACTGTGTCCAACAAAACACTGCCTCTTAATTTTATGTGTTGGCTTATATCTCAATCTCAGTTCCGGTTTCAAGCTACCAGGTACTGTGTTCAGTTGGACACAGTCTCTCGATTTTTGCTATTGTGTTTAACTGAACACTGTTTAAAGCTACTGTGTCCAACTGAACACAGTCTCTCAATTTTACCTAACTGTGTCCAACTAAACACAGCTCCATACAAGGGAAACTTCCCCTTATGTGACGGACGTACACACTAACCAGCACACACAGAGACGTACACACTAACTAGCGCACACACACATACAGCGATAAAAGCTGGAAGGACCCCCAGTCTGGTGGGGGCAAAGTGACAACTTAGATTCTGCTGAGTCACAAACATGACTGGCTGGGTGAAGCTCTCCTCGCCACGCTGTGGGAGCTGCTGTGCTGTACTGCTGTGGGCTTGAATCAACCTTCCTTTATGGTAGAGCAAATGCAACACAATCCAAAGGTTCGCAAGTACGGGTACCGGTATGCATTGTTTCAGAGAGGAGATGAAAGAGCCATGCCAAAATCACAACGTTACCACAGAGTCTACAGCCTGCGTTTTAGTGATTTGGCAGTTGGTGACCTGTCGCAGCAAAGTTTACTCAACTCAGTCACTCTTTCTTGCCACCTTCTGCTCTGCTTCTTTAGCTAGCTGGCAGCGAGCTAGCTAGAGAAGCTACTACATCTTGCTAGCTAGCTACCCACTGTTGACAGTCTCATAAGCCAGGTAGTTGGCTCTGGCAGTTAAAAGGTCGGATGAAAGCAACTGTCTAGTTGGTAGACCAAGAACTGCTTCAGAGACTATTGCTTGTAGCTTTCGCCTGGGAAGAACATCTTATATCTGATGACTAGCTAGCTGACCAAAGCGCAAGCTTCATATCCCAGTAAGCAAAGGACTAAACCTGGCTTTCATTCCTTGCTGTGCCCTGACAAGAGCAATCACATCCACACAAAAGGGCAGTGCAGTCAAAAGACAAACCTGGGAATGCTTCACATGTATGTTTTGAAGTGCTCCGGCAGGTTCCATTGATGTTGCACACTTCTTCAGGGATACTGCCAGATAGCATTTGGTTTCCACTGAAAGTCAAAGTGTAGAGGGTTGGGTGCAGGGCCAAGATCTCCTGAGGTACCGACCCAGTGAGATAATTATTGGCAAATGACAGGTGGGCGACGGAGGAAAGATGGCCAAGTTCACTGGGAATGGCTCCAGTGAATTGGTTGTCAAAGAGTTTCAATTCAAGCAAATTGGATGCTTGCCCAAGCTCGGTTGGAACAGTTCCTGTGAACCTATTATTGTCAAAATTGAGTGAGATGCTCAGCTCTGTAAGGAGCCCAAATTCACTTGGCAGTGTGCCTGTGAATTGATTCCCTCTAAATGATAGCAAAGTTGAAGCTGTCATTGCCCCCAATTCTGTGGGGAGAGTTCCAATCAGATCATTTTCAAATATGGAAAAGAGAGTTATCCTTGTAAGGAGCCCTAGCTCTGACGGCAGGGAGCCAGACAAACCGCTGCTGAACAAGGAAGCAAAGTCGAGGTCCTGTAAGAGGCCAAACTCTGTAGGAATGGTTCCTAAGTTTCAAAGGCAACCACAGTGGTTAGAGCATGTTGTGAAACAGTCAATTTGATGCAACAACTTTGAACCAACCTACCTCCAATACTCGTGTCATCTGTGTGTAGCCATCTTAGTTTGCTGCAATTCCCAATCTCACTTGGCAAGGTGCCCTTTAGCTGGGGGTTTGCACTAAGACCAAAATGAAATAGATTGGTCAATTTCCAGATTTCACTTGGAAGCGTTCCCCGAAAATTGCTGTTCCGACTAGATATGACCTGGAAATTGGTTAACAATCCGATCTCAGAGGGAATAATTCCACCATCTTTCAGGTCTGAAAAGACCAGTCCCTCCAATGCTGTCAGCTTCCCGATATGCGAGGAGATTGGCCCGTGCAGGAAATTGAATGCTGCAGAGAATGTCTGCAGGGCTGTCAACAAATAGAGCTCTGGAGGGAGTGATCCCACAAGATTGTTTCTGTCCAGCCACAGATGTTGGTAAAAGCCATCCTCGTTGCATTGTCCAGCTGGTAGAGGTTCCAAAAAGCCTGCTAAGTAGCCTGGATAGTACTGGTTGACAACTTCTTTCATGCTAAAGTCTGGTTTGTTGTACCAGCTGCATTCATGGATACTGTGATTGAGCCAATTGGTGCTGTTTTCCCATAGCTCTCCTCCTGTGGCATAGAATAGTGTTGCCAAGGCGAACTTTTGCTGGACGCGTTCATCGGACAGGAAAGAAAGCAATGGGGTATCTTCCAACATCCATTGCCATGCTTTGGATTGGGGTGAACCCTTGTCGCTTGTGATGGCCAAGATTGTTTCCTGAGAAAACATGGAAAGAATGGATCCTTCAACAGAGGCTGGCGGCGGAGAGGAGGCAGTTGTTGGCATTGTCATGGCTGAGGATGACTCTTTGCTAGATTTGGAAACTGCAATGGCAATCATGCCAATTGCAACCAATAGAATGATGGCAAGCAGCATATAGGTCCTGATTTGCTTGCTGTTGTCTTGCCTGACCCTTTCGTTGTCTTCTGCTTCGTTGCAATGAGGGATAGCCGACTGTAATTCGTCATCCGTGACCAAGTTGGCGACTACCAAGGAACCGCTTTCTCCAAACCAGGGCACTTCCAAGGAACAATTTTCCGTGCGGGTTGCTGGTCTAGTGACTCCTCGTCCTCCGAAGCCAGGCATTGGGAATGCACCCGGTTCACGTGACCGATCTATCAAGATGGGTGGTGGTAGGGGTTCCATGTCGGCAGCAACAAAATCATGAACGTCACGCGAACCAGGAGCTTGGCTTTCTACGCCGCTTGTCGTGAGGCCGTTGAATGAAGTGGCGGCCACAGTGGAAGACCAATTTTCGGGGGAAATTTCGCATGATCCTCGTTGGGCAGATTTCTTCCGACTGTCTGGGTAGTCTACGTTCACTTCTTCTTCCATGGTGGAATTTCTGTGGAAGCCAGCACCATCGGGGTACTCATCCGTCGTTTGTTTTCGTGGGGTATCCATCTTAAGCTAACCTGCTTCATTAGCCAAGGTATTGGACTTGATTGTGGACTGTTCCGTGTGAGACCCAAGCAACCGGAAAAAGAAACTTTCAGAGACACACAGACGGAAGCTGGAAGCAGGGAAACAAGAGCGGTGAAGCGGTGAAGACAATCTTCGAAAACTCGAATAAGTTTGCTGTTCCAGCAGTATCGGTACTACATGTAGTACTCTCTTCTCTCTTCAACCGCTGCAATTAGCAAGGATCAATGGTCAGAAGACGAGAGACGAGAGGATGCTGTGGACTGTGGACGCCATGTTCTGAGAGATTCCTCAAGGAGGCTCTAACTAAGTCTATGGTTCTATGATTATTGCACCACTTACTTGACCACAATTAATTATTACCGATACAATAAGAGAAGGCACTGTGGTTACTCCATCACAGTACCATGATACTAGAGCTATGAAAGAGAGCTAAAGAGTCAGTCCCTTACAGTACGAACTGAGTACTGTACTGTAGTACAACATCATGATTAAAAGGATTTTCCCATATTCAATATTATTATAGCCATTCTTGCCGCATCCACGATAGAGATTTAACAAGGACATCTATTTTCCCTTGGGCAATTTCATGTTACAAGTACGTGCCAGGTACTGTACCGTGATGGTGTACGACTGTGCCAGTATCCGCGGACCAATTCGGCCATTGATGAAGCGATGATTCTTTTGGATGTGACTGGTACGACTGTACATTATAGAATGGATCCAGCAACTCTAGCTAGAGTGAAATGCGATTTAGGACCGACCTTTCCGCGGATTATTCTCTTAAGAGGTGGATCTCGAATATTGTACTTTTAAGTAGCTGAATCGAAAGGGCATATGTTGTTGAGTATCCCATTAAATTCCCAAGATCAGAGTGTACTTATTGGTGGAGTTATGGTTGATTGAAAATATCCTCACTTTTGTGACGAATTCTTTTTCTCTGCAGTTTAAGACTTTACAGTACTTAACTGTGTAGGATCCTACATAGGAGACTCCTGTAAGATCCTACGGAACACTTAGGAAGCACCTCTATTGCTCTGGTACTGAAGCTACGTAGGATCCTACATAAGAACCTCTATTAATTACACGGTCTTAATCTTCACCCGGTCTTAAAATGACATTTACTCTAATTAAGTCTGCTCTACTCTTCATGGTACAGGCGGGTACCAGTAGGCACGAGTAGAGGGTACAGTAGGGGAGGCTTCCGTTCCAGGATGGAATGTACATTTCTCCCTTGATATTAAGATATCTCTAAGTTCACCTGAACTCTGAAGGCATCTTAGCAACCAGAATCTTCTTAGCTTTTTGTTTTAACAAAAAGCTAAGAAGACTTTAAATAGTTCAGGGTGCAAAGGCAACATATTAGCTTTCAAGATTGCCATTTTTATTGATCATACTAGCTAGTAGTATGGTACATACCAACATTTCTACTCTGCTTCCCACCTTTTAAACATACCTTTAATCTAAGTGAAGAGAGGAAAGAGCAGTGTATCATCTGTCGGAGGCAAAATTTTTGACTTTAAGGCATTTGTTGTAGAAAAGTGTCATTGTATCATCTGTCAATCTCTTATGTGCCCAAGGGAGAGTGCTTGCAGGGTATCTTAGCTCTAATGCAGATCTGAGTGTCTCAAATATCTTATCATTCTAGCAAATTCTAGCAAATCTCAGTACTGGACATCCATCTTATCTCGGACTCTCTTAATATCAAGGGACGAGTGTACATGAAGGATACTTGTATGTTGTGTCGTACCGCCTGTGGTAGTTCCATTTAAGATTTGATCCACTGACAATTATTGGGAGATCTTGAGCTTCCGGAGTTTCAACTTTCTCTAGTCGATTTTGATTCGATTCGAATGTTTCATAAAGTTATTCGAATCGAATCAGAATCGACTCGAATTTTTGCGAATGACGCAAGTCTTGAGAGTTCGTGACCAGAACGTCAACCGCCAACTGGCCGACCTCCGCGGTTTCGGTGTCCGCCACCAATTGCCTTTGCCATCCAGAAGCCGTGGCCAATTCTTTTTTCGAAAGGCTGCCACTGACATCACAAATCCAATATTCTTTGGAACCAACCACACATCAAAGAAAACAAAGAACATAGTTTTGCTCACCTTCTACCGTACTAGTCTAACTAAAGCAATCATCCAAAAGAGAGAGAAAAGAGCAAGCTCACCCAGCCATCTATCTAGCAGTCAAAGGGGCAGCGCACACAACTTGAATGGAAAACTGAAAAGAGTATGATTGGTGGCAACTTTTCTTTTTCTGGAATATTGATGGTGATGATGTTAACATCATTGATATCCCGAAACGGCCTTCGTGTGGCCAAGGCATTGACTACTACCCAAAATCCAAGCCGTCTGCTGGTGGCGCCAACCTCAGCCGCTATTCGATTTCGTTCCTCCAAACTACAAGCTTCGGTCGAAGAAGATTTGGATCAAGCCCTGACTTCCTTTTTGGAAGATAACCAACAAAAATCCGCACCAAAAACCAAAAAGGTCTTTACGGATGTCGTACCACCCCGAAAGCAAGCGGCACATCTGGAACCTGTGACTTTGTCAGATCTTGTGGAGGACAAAAAGGTGGGTTCTTGTGTTTCATGGGTAGCATTGCTTCTTTTTCTGTTGCCTTGCATAGTACTGACGCAATCTCTTTCCTCTTTTTCTTTTTGTATACCCACTGCTCCACTTCAATATCAATAATATCAGGAGGAAGAAGTGGATTACAATGATCCCAAATTTTTGAATATCAAGAATCCCTTCTGGGTGGAAAATGGACTAGATGAAAGAATCATTGACATTCTCAGTGAAAAGGGCATTTCTCAATTCACACCGGTACAGGGAGAAGCTTATCTTCCCGTCAAGCGTCGTCGCGATGTTATTGGACGATCTCGTACGGGAACCGGAAAAACATTGGCCTTTGGACTGCCCGGTCTCGCCCGTATCGTAGAGCATTCCCAAGAAAAGGGCTCTCGAAACGAACGTGGCCAAATGCAACGAGGACGACCCGTATCCATGGTGATCCTCTGTCCCACACGGGAGTTGGCACGACAAGTCTCGGAAGAACTTTCTCTCGTGGCCAGACCTCTGGGACTCTACGTCGATGTCTTTCATGGGGGTGTCTCCTACGACCCACAGGCGCGAGCTCTTCGACAAGGATTGGATGTGCTCGTGGGCACACCCGGACGTGTCATTGACCATATTAAACGTGGAAACCTCGATCTATCCCATTGCGACATTGCCGTGCTTGATGAAGCAGATGAAATGTTAAACATGGGCTTTGCCGAAGACGTGGAAATCATCTTGGATGGCATTGGTAGTGCCAATGAGCACAAAACGCAATGTTTGCTCTTCTCGGCCACCACTCCTGGATGGGTCAAGCAAATTGGGGCTCGATACCAAGACAATGTCTACTCTATTGATGCCACGGGAAATGAAGGAGCTCGAGTAGCAACCACTGTCACGCACAAGGCAATCCAGTTGCCACCCGGTGTGGATGCCAAAAAGCAAGCACTAGAAGATATCATTGCCGTGGAAATTTCACGCAACATGGATGAAAGCGAGGAGGAAGATCTCGACGACAACCCCATTGCTGCCGCTGCTCGAGAAAAGAAAAAGAGTACGGGACAAGCTATGCAACAAAAGATTTTCGGCAAAACCATTGTCTTTACCGAGACCAAGCGAGAAGCCGACGAGCTCGTCTCGGGAGGCGTCTTCAAAACTTTGTCAGCGCAAGCGATTCACGGTGATGTCGGCCAGAAACAGCGTGATGCGACTCTCAATGCCTTTCGTAAGGGTGCATTCAACGTTTTGGTGGCAACGGACGTTGCGGCCCGTGGAATTGATATCTCGGATGTGAGTTTTGTAGATTGATCCCTTCTTTGCACATAACACGACTTGCACATAACACGACAAATCTTCGTGGCTGACCCTTTTTTTATCTTCTTGTTTTGCTCAGGTCGACCTTGTGATTCAGTTTGACCCACCTCGAGATGTAAGTACCCTCGACACCAGAACATTTTGTTGTGGAATCCCCCAACTCACAGCGTCATATTATCCTCTTTCTGCTCAAGGTTGATACCTACGTACATAGGTCCGGTCGAACAGGTCGAGCTGGTAACAAAGGTGCTTCTGTATTGCTCTTTGGCCGCCAACAGTCACGCGATATTGTTCGAATTGAACGCGATCTTGGTCATGGGTTCAAATTCGAGCTCGTGGGACCACCATCCATTGAGGCGGCAATGCGTGCAGCAGCAAAGACGTCAGCCCAGGCTTGTATGGGTATCAATGAAGACGCTGTAAAATACTTTCGAGATGCAGCTGCGGAACTGTTGGACGAGGCCGAAAATCCAGAGGACATTGTAGCTCGATGCTTGGCAGCCATTTCTCGTCGTTCAACCGATATTCAAAGCCGTTCACTGATCACTGGAGAGCTTGGATATGCCTCTGTGCAAATGTCATACACAACTGACAAACAAGTGACCCCAGGTGATGTCATGTTCACAGTGGGCAAACTCTCCAGACTGAGTAGCGGAGATATGAAATTTGACTCTGATGTTGGAAAGATCCAAACACAAGCAGAAGATGGAACAGCCATCTTCGATTTGGGAGTAAGTACAAAGTCGCTTAGTGTGCGTTTCAGAAAACTGGGAACCGCTGACCAAACTATGTTTGCTTCCTCTTCAGGTTGAAGATGCCAAGCGTCTGGTGGAGTTCAGTAACCAGGAAGGAGTGGACACCTTTGATGCTGAGTTCAACTTTGTGCAAGAACTGGAAGTGACACGTGATCGTTTCTTCGGACAACCATTCCGCGGGCGCGACAATCGTCGAGGAGGCGGCAACTACGGAAGAGGAGGAGGAGGCTATCGTGGTGGCGGCGGTGGAGGCGGTTATCGTTGGGGGTGGCGGCGGTGGAGGCGGAGGCCGCTACCAGCGAAGTAATAATGGTCGCCCCGGATATGGTGGAGGGCGATACAGTAACAACAACAGTGGTGGAAGGGATGGCGGATTCAGAGGTCGATCAGAAGGAGGAGGTCGAGAGGGCTACCAATCTCGTAACCGTGGAGGAGATGAGTCCCATAGGGGCTACAGCAACTATGAAAATCGCCGCGGAAGCGGCGGGGGTGGACGTAGATACGACCAAAGGAGCAACAACGGAGACACTGGAGGTTGGTGAAGAGATCCTCGTGCTGCTGTACAAAAGATGCACTCTCTGTGACCTGCGCTACCAGCATTAGATAGCTTTCCTTGTGAATGTGTTCTCCATTCATATAATTGACTCGGCTCAACCGATGACAGCGATGAAAATCTGCGCAGTTCTAGAACATTCCACACACAGTGTTTTCACACTTGCTCCAAAAGTTAGTTGTCTCGGGTAGTGGGGACCTCCATTGGTCCCGCTGAGAACAAGGCGGGCATAGACAAGGCCCGCCAGTTTGGAGTTTTGACCCGGCTGCTACAGGTAGCTAGCTGATATTTGCTTGTAGTCAGATTCCTGTTTGGAAAAGCGGCATTTTCGATTTGGGCCCAGCTAGCTAGAGCAGTGCTAGCTACGGTATAGGCTAGACAAAGGCGAACAACATCTCCTGGGTTGCTGCAGCATCACGTCCTGTCTTCGCCTTCAGCTTCATCAGCAATGCACCAGAAAATGCATGTAAAAACTACCACGGTACCATGGTACTCGCACCGGTACCGGTACCGATCTGACCGGAGCTGTCCTCCAGCGGTGCCAAAACGGGCTCGCAGTTTTGCTCTTACTACGTACTAATCCTGAACCCTCGGGGTATTTGACGTAAGTCACGAGTAAACTATTGACTCGACTCGACCGCTACCGAGCAGCACCGAACCACCATCCATCGATATTACCCGTATCGAAAAGCATCCTTCGTTGCCCTGTTACCGCCAGTAGGGGCCATCGGAGGTGTTAGCAAGTCCAATAGCTTAGTATTAACGGGGTCTTTTCACGCTGGAAGATAGCTAAGTGTTTCCGCCATGTCTTCCAAGGTACGTACTTGCTGCCACAATTAAGCGAAGGACTTGTTGACCTACCTTCTTCGCACAACCATGTTGTCGATGCAATACAAGAGACCTAGCTAGTTTGCAACCTAGGCCAAAGTTAGGCTGTCTTGTTAATGTTTGCTGGTGCTTTAGCACCGTTAATGGGCAAGCGGCAGGCAACTCAGGTGGAACGCTAGGTTGTCATGATGTACTATTATCTATTATTAGCTAGCTCCTCACGTCAATTTCCTCGCTCCTCATTGCTTTCTAAATTACCATTGCAAACATGATTCCCTAATATGGTGCGCACAGAAAGAAAAAGGCAACAGTCGGGGTAACCGCAGGGGCAGTAGTCGCGCAGCCAGAGGAAAGCTTAGAAGATTTCATGACATTGAAAATGTTATTGTGGAGGAACCCTTTAGCTTGTTCAAACCTGCTGGGGGGAGCAGTGGAGGAGACGCTGAAGAAGACCGCCAAGCTGGAGATGGCTGCTATGTCACGACAACTGTACATAACCGAAGATACTACGGGCTTCTGATAGATCAAGATGCGCTCAAAAATGCATCCATGCTTTGGTTCGAAGAAGAGGCAGGCTCTTTGGACCTTAACCGTAGGATGCAGATGCTGCGCGAACAAAGCGCCAACGACGACGAAGAGGAAAGGGGGGACAAGAAGCGGGCTGCCATTGAAAGTTCTGAAGGCGCGGATGCAAAGCGAATCAAGCTCGACCAGGGCGAGGATGCTGGATCTGCACCGGTACCTGACGCTGCACCGGTTCCTGACGCTGTCCCAAGCAACACCGCGGAACCTGTGCTAGGTGAGGGCAACCAGGAAGGCCAGAAGCTAGGTACTCCCGGAGTCCAACGTCAGGTCCAAAAGTTTCGTTACGTGGAAAAGAACTCGAAAGGCCCAGGCTATCGTATCCTATTGGCCACCTATGCTGACATTGAAGCAGCTTCTGAAGATGACTATGAGAAAGGCAAACTGATCCAAGCAGCTTGTCAAGATGGTGGCGGGTTTGTAGGGAAGTACTACTACCAATACGAGGTGAGATTTTCAGGCGTGCCCTTCTAGTGACACTGCAACGACACGTTGATTCACCATTGCCTCTTCCTGAATGTCTTGGCAGGTGCTGCGCAATACGTTGCAAACCGCGATCACAATTCCAGACGGACAAGATGACTCCATGAGAATCTCAATGGGTTTCGACTCATTTATCAACAGCACTCCCTTACCAAGGTGGTTCCCACTGGCCAACCTTCACATACAGCAACACAAAGTTCTTAGTATGCTCAATATGAAGAAAGACAGCAACGGAAACGCCGTTTGGGACTCCCAAGCTCGTTCTGCCGCTACGACTGCATCCTTGCGGGGTACTCACGTGCCCATGGAGCCACGAAGTCGCTACCGGGTTGGCGTCATGGGTGGAGGTATATCGGGTCTCGCGTGTTGCCTAGAACTGCTGCGTCTATGTAGCAGTCAGAAAATCGATATCGAAGTGGTTTTGTTGGAAGGGAGACCTCGTCTTGGCGGAAGGCTGCTCACCGATAGAGAATCCTTTAAGCAAAGTGACGGGATAACCCCTTTCCCCGTTGACCTTGGGGCTGGTTGGATTCATGGAATCGATCACAACCCGCTAGCATCGCTTGCCCGAGAAGCTGGCATCTCTTTCGTCACGACTAGCGAAGAAGTCAAAATGCTTCACGGAGGTCTCCGAGAAGTGGACAAAGAGGTGGATGACACCATGGGAACCCTGTTTGACGACCTTCTCGATGTTGGCGTAAGTTCAATTGCTCATAGCCCCGTCCTGTGTGCCTACTCGCTGCATATGTATCCAATTGACATTCTCATATTTGTGCCTCGCATTAGGCCGACGATTGTTGGGGCGACGGAGAATCCACTAACGGATCTCGGAACCAGATGGCAGTGAGATGGTACTCGGCCAATCTTACTAACGACTCGAAGCCGCCTGCCACCAATGGACAAAACTCAGGTTCCCCATCAAAGAACGGTGGCGATTTGAATGCTGGTCTCGGCCTCAGGAAAACGGACGCTCCTCCTCACCGTCATTCATCTGATATGTCTATTGATCATGCAATTGGCAAAGCCGTTGCGAAACACAAAATACGCGAGTTTTCAAAGCTCACAAAGGACAAACACCTAATGCTACAGTGGAATATGAAGAATGTAGAGTATGCACTGGGAGCCAATGTCAGCGATCTGTCAATGAAGTTCTGGGACAGCGACGAACGTCACGCATTCGAGGGTGATCATGTGCTGCTTCGAGAGGGTTACTCTACTGTTGTAGACTTCGTGGTGAAGAAGCTGGAAAAGTATGGCAGCGACAAGTTCAAGCCTATGCTCAACTTTCCAATTGGAAAAGTTGAATATGCTCGTCGATCGACAACAGAGAAGTACCAAGACGAGGCTCAGCGCAAGCTGGTGGAACTTTCGGACGCTTGCTGCGTAATGTCAGAAGATGGCAGCAAAAGTGTCAAGTGTGATTTTGTTGTATGTACCCTTCCGCTTGGAGTTCTGAAACACGCAGTGACTCAACCTCCGAAGCCGGCGGATGACAATGCTAGGGTGGCGTTTGAACCTCCACTCCCAGAATCCAAGCAAGATGCAATCAACACCGTTGGCTTTGGACTGCTCGACAAACTGTATCTACAATTTCCCACGGCGTTCTGGAGACAGCCCCTTGGCCTCGACAATGAAAATTATCTCTTTGGCAATTCGTCGGGCATAAATCCGTATTACTACATGTTCACGGACCTCGGGTTGACTCTGGGCAATGACAACGACTACCCTCCAATTTTGATGACTTTGATTTCGGGGAAGGAGGCCGTCCATTGCGAGATGCTTTCCGAGCAAGAAATGGTGCGAGAAGCACTAGAAACTCTCGGTGAAATATTGAGGCCAATCAAAGTGCCCTCGCCAATTGCAGTGAGGAGGACAAAGTGGGGCATGGACAAGTTTTCACGAGGTTGCTACACATTCCTGCCTCCTGGTGCCACAGATCAGGACTTCAACATGCTTCAATCGCCGTTGAATGGGAACGGAGACTCACTTCTCCTAGAAGGATCAGAAACTATGCGGATGTTCTTTGCCGGTGAGCATACAACGGCTCTTCACCCGTCGATGGCGCACGGTGCAATGCTTTCAGGAATTCGCGCTGCGAAAGAAATCGTTTCTACACTGAGCTTCAACTTTCGCAACGACAAGGCCTCCGACCGTCTCATCCCTGTGGCTTTGTTTCGAAGGGACAACCCGAATACATCGTTGCAGTGTAGTTTGTGCCACGAGATGGGAAGTAGAGTGAGGGAGGGCTCGTTGCTCGCATTCAAGAGAGGCGCAAGGCAAGTTCTGGTGCACAACAACTGCGCCGAGTACAGCCCGGAAGTAGAGGTCTATGAGGGCCAATGGCGGCACGTCATAAAGGCTGTCAACAGAGGCAAGGCATTGAGCTGTGCCTTGTGCGACCGCAGCGGAGCTACGATTGGTTGTACGCACCATAACTGCTTCCGAGTGTATCACTTCAGCTGTTGCGAGGACGCTGGGTGGCGCTTTGACCGAGAGGGAAAGGTGTACTATTGTGATCTCCACAGGAAGACGCCAAAGGGCAACGACGCTGACAGGATTTCTCTCCAGTTCTACAAATCGAAGACGCCGAGCGCCGTTATCCGGTGCTTCCTTTGCGGGGGAAATAATCCCAAGGCCGGGAAGTTGCTCGCGTTCCAGCGAAAGAATCGCAGAGTGCTGGTTCACGAGAAGTGTGCTCGCTTCACAAACATCGTCGACACCAAAGAGGACACCGAGAGTCGGATGGGAATCGAGTTCCTGAACATTTTTGGGGCAATCGAAAAGGCGGGCACCTGTGAAAAATGCAAGCGACATGGCGCAACTATTAGCTGCGAGTCATGCGATGCGCTTTTCCACTACCCTTGTGCCCTGGAAACTGGTTGGAAGGGCACCAAGAAAGGGTCGAAGTTCTTCTGCGAGTTCCATCAAAAGAGTCGGCCCAAGAAGGAAGAGAGCAAACGAGGTGGTGTATTCCAGCATGCTCTGTTTGCTGGATCGGCTGTAAGCGGACAAGAAAAGACGCCAGCCCCGTCGAACTCCGAGATTGTGGCCTCTGCTCCTGACCAGAAGGATTCCCAGGAAGAAATGGCTGCCGATGACAGCAGCGATTCCGACGACAGCGATTGCAAGGTGCTTGAAAACGTGAACGTGAAGCTCATGCCCGTCAGCGAACTTCCTGATGATCTGGGAGACTCCAAGAAAGTGTGGTTGACAAGGACGACCACAGATCATACCTGGAATTTTGGTCTGGTCGCCAAGAAGCTTGGTGGACCTGATAAGGCTTACGCATTGTCGGTAGGAGGCAAAGCTGGCCGACCAAAGGGTGGTCTGCGTGAGGGTCAGATAGTCTTGTCGGTGAATGGTGATGAGATTGGAAGCTCCTCCTTTAGCACTTTCAAGGATGTCCTGTCTTATCTTGGGAAGCAAACTGACATTGCTTTGGTTGTCAAGCAAGGATCGACGATGGCCGATATTGCCGTGTCTGCTCCTGCGATGGCATCGACGAAGGCCACCGAGGCCGAATCCGAGGCTCAGGCCGATGATTTCTCTTCGCCACTTCCCGATGCCGTGGGCTCTCAGAATGTCACGTTGCAACCAAACACTGGGGGCCTCCTGATCGATTTGGAGAACGACGATTCGGAAGCCGCAAAGTTGCTTGATATGGAAACGACTGACATCGGAGGGGGGCTAGGCGAAGCAGCAGCGGCAGCACTCCAGCAACAAAACGACAACTCGCCAGGTTTCGATGAAGGCAATATGGGACTGTCAAACGAAGACACCACAGGTAGAACGGAATCGGAACAGCCCGCTCCCGAGGCTTTGGAGGCAGAGTTGGAAGGAGTTGTCGATGAAATCGTCGACGAGACCACCTCCGAAGCCATCCAGATGGAATCAGGAGGCCTGCAGAATGGTGGCGATTCTCAAGCATCGCACCTTTTTTAGATGGAAAAGGAGGTGCTTGGAGAACTCCGAGGACACCGCCGCGTACCGCACTCCAAATCATGATGGGGCCGATTGTGGCTAGAAGGTTTGACGTCGGACGTAGCACAGTCACGGTACAAGTATAGTCTAGAGTGGTTGTCAGTAAACGTCGAGTAATGGGTGTTTCGCTTGAGCATTCTAAATAGCTACGTTATAGCTAGCTAGTTGCTATGGTCGAGGATAGGTGTCCGAGGTTCATAGCCCAATCTCCGCATGATGACATTTTTGCTGGTACTGTACTGCATGTACCGGTAGAACCGGAAAGTCTGGTTCCTCCTGAGCGCTGGCTCTGACTTTGCCTCGTTCCAACAACTGACCTTTGGTACCCAACGAGTCGAGTATGCTCCTGTGATACCAGAGCTCTTGTTGTCAGAGTTGTCCCCCAAGTGATTGATGAGCCCTTTTCCAGGCCTATGTCGAATCGAATCGAATCTACTAGTACCGTAATGTCGAATCGAATCGAATCTACTAGTACCGTAATGTATTATAGTTCTTACTGAAAAAGAAATAACAATAATATTGTTATTACTTGTCCACCCACACTAGCTACGGTAACACAGTTAGTTCCTGTATGTGCATTATTATTTGTGACTTCGGCATCTGTCCTTCAAGAAGAACAAGAGGCCTCCGGTGGCGCCAACCACGGAAATTGAAATGAGGGCTGTCCGTTGCTTGGCCAACTGGAATGGGCTTGCTTTACTAGCAAGCCGGCGATAGGGAAACCTAGCAGCACTGCTTCCAGCTAGAGCTATCCCGACTTCAGCCAGTTAGGATTAGCTAGCTACCAAGCAACTCTCCCAGCTAGTGATGTGGCTCCGTGGCAGTTCTCCCAGCTTCTTCCCAGGAGCCGATGATACCATAGCCCTAGCAGTTCTCCCAAAACTAGCTCCATCCCCAGTTCCCAGCCAGTGAAAGCCCTAGCCGTCCTCTCAGGTCTTCTGCAATACACGGCTCTTAGCCTTATTCGCGACTCGATCCTAGATAGGGTTTGAGTTCGACATGACGTAGTCCTTCGCGAATAGTCATTGAGACAGGGTTCTCATGACAGCTAGTCATACTAGGTTGTCGATGAAACATCGCTCTAGATATTTAGCCGGCGTGGAAAGCTTCCACGCTACTAGACAGCTACTAGCTGAAGTTTCCACGTGTTCCGGAAATGGACCGTGGAGTACGTAGAGTTATTGCTATAACCTACGATATCACACTTCGAGGCCTCCCGCGGGAGACCAACTTCAATGAGCTTCACAACGATCTCTCTCATGGATTAGTTTTCGTAGCTTTCTAATCTCTCTCATAACTTTCATTCTCTCAAACTCAAAACACTCGAAAGATCTTTACACTAGCTTTTAGCGTAGTGCATTTTGTTAACAAACACAATAGCTTTCAGCTACCCTCAACCTATTCCTTCACCATGAAGATTGCTCAAGGAAAGCATGCGTTCACCAACTTCGAGAAACTGCAAAACAGTTGCGTGACAAACCCATTCTTCCTCTCGTGGACAACGATGAAGAAGCCGAGATCGACGATACTTGTGCAACCACCTACAAACTTCGCACCGTTCCTGCAGATGCAAACAGTGCCAAATATACCTTCAAGGTAGCCATTATCAATGGTTCCAACACTCCGCGTCAGACCATCAAGTGGGCTACGAATATGGAGAAGGTCTTCCTTGGACTCAACCTTGCCAATGCCGACGACAAACATCGCCTTCTCAAGGAGATGACTTCCAGCTCTGCGAAGAGTGCCTACGAAGCTGGGTGTGCAGGCCATCGTGCCGTGCGTCACCACAACCTACGACAAATTGCTGTAAACGCAGTTGCTCACGCGACGTGGGTTCTGGAGAAACCGAAGTCCATTCCAAGCTCGTGTTCAGCCGCATGGGACGGTGCAGCGGAACCTGCTCTAAGCGATGATGGACATCACCTTTGGAATAAACGCGGTTATCGAAGCAGCCTGTCCTTACAAGGCTCTCGAAAAACAGAAAACGCTTCATGCGTCGCA